GAAGAAATATAGTATAGTTAATTTAGTATGGACCTTATGGAAAATGAAATTACTTTCTTACTCTTCCATGATGACTTGGCATTATCTCTGAGTAAAGAATAAAATGCTCTTTCTTTTTAATGCAGTTGTTTCTTTGCTTGTTTATTTCTTGACGATTAGGTGGCTGGCCTTTCTGGAAACTTATACCTTGAATCTACATCTCTGAACAATTACCCAGCATTCCCATATGTTAGGTTGCTTCTGTCTAGACAAATACAGTTAAATCAGAAATCTTTATCACATCATCAAATGCTCTACATTTATCTAAAAGTATGTGCTATATAGTGAAAACCTGAAAATATTTATATTTTAGACAACTAAACCCTCGGAAACCCTATACAGGGTCGCTATGGGTCGGAACCGACTCGACGGCACTTAACAACAACAACAACAAACACTAATTATATGAAAAATATTTAAACACAATTCAATTCTATCATGATCATGTATCTATAATCTGATTTGGGTTGAGTCAATATTTTGACTTCATGTCAATGTTTTGTCTTCAATTAAACATTCATTCTGCTTTAAATTTTAAGTAGAAGTTAAAAGAAAGAACATACCCCTGTGGAGATTAGGTTACATCTTCTGCAGAGTTATTATTTAGCAACATCCATGCCAGTAGATAATCTGATCATGCATAGAGGATATCTGAGAGTCTGTCTCCATAACTAAATCTTATCCAAGAGCTAGTTCCCTACTTGTTGACTTGCGTCAAAGAGTAAGAAAGTATGCTGTTGTTAAGTGCCATTGAGTCAGTCCTGATTCTTAGCAACCCTTTATATGGAGTCCTGGTGTGGCACTGAAGGTTAATGCACCAGTCTGCAAAGCCATTTTGAACTGCAAGGTTAGCAGTTCAATCTCACCAGCTGCTCCTCAGAAACTCTATTCAGGGTTGCTATGGGTCGGAGTCGATTTGACAGCACTTAACAACAACATAGAGTTTCTAGTAATCCTGGTGTGGCACTGTGGGTTAATGCACTAGACTGTAAAGTTGCTTTGAACTGCAAGGTTGGTGGTTCAAATTCACCAGCTTCTCCTCTGCAACCCTATACAGGGTTGCTGTGGGTCACAACTGACTTGACGGCACGCAACAGCAACAACATAGGGTTTCCAAGGCTTGAAATCTTCACAGAAGCAGACAGCTTCTTCTTTCTAGTGTGGAGTGGCTAGTGGGCTCAAATCACAGAACTTGCAGTTCCAAGTCCAGCACTTATTGTATGGAGTTGTTGCCAAACTGAAACAAGGGCTTGCTTCCTGTCACTGTAGTCACTCACAGAGATGGGGGAGAGATCCAATCCAAGCGTTATCAACAGAAAGCCAGCAGTCTGGAGGACAGAGAGAATAGTTTCTCAAGACCATCCTGTCCATTATGACGAGCAGGCACATTATACAAGGTATGTTACATTTGGACGTACACTTAATCTATTTTAACAACAAGATTATGTCATAGGAGCAAATAATCTATAGTAACTTTGTTTTTCTATACTGCTTCCCTGACTTGTTTCAGTTCTACACTTAGGGCAATGATAGTCTGGGAGATGGCATTAAGGGTCATTACCAATGAGATGGATTGCCAAGTGGCAGCATTGATGGACTCAAGCATGGCAACAGTAGTGTGGTTGGCCCAGGATCGGGCGATGTTTCGTTCTGCTGTGCATAAGGTAGTTATAAGTTGGTACTGACTCAATGGCACCTAACAACAACAACAACTATTATACAGGTAAGTCTATTGATTTCTATACTTAGGGACATGACGATAGAAGGCATTATATATAAAATGGGATAGGGTCACATGTTCAGCTGGACTGAGCAGATGTAGATCCATATGGAACTCAAGTGGACTCCCAGGTGACTTGGTGATAAAAGTCTATCAGTCAGGTCTTGTCTCTAGGGTAGGAAGGTGATGGGTCTTCCAAAAGCGCAGACCCCACCTCCCTTCTCATTGTAGAGTTAGTGGGGATGTAGGAGAAGACCTTAATTCCACAGATGAGGATCCACCCTGCTGGTAATTTTGCTGTGGATGCATTGGACTTCTTGCTATAATTCAGAGATGAATTGGTTACGTTCACTCATTGAGGGGACCTGCACTTGGAGGAGTGGCTATTTCAGCTTGTTTTGTGGGAAACCAGAACTCTTGTCTTTCAAGCCACCATCAAAATAAATCCAACAATGGGTGCTAGGTGTTATTACTGTTCTTAGGATAATGGAAAACATTTCTCGGTACTCCTCAGTAGTGTCCTGGACTAATCTCCAGAGGTCATTATAGATGAAGTCCACTTAAATTATCTTTATATATGAAGGACACACCCTGCTGGAGCTGTGTTATAGAAGTACTAACCCCAGTAAGGCAGAAGGTAAAGGTTTGTTCCATATAAAATCTCCCTTTAAACAGAAATCAGACACATTCATTACATGCTTTGCTAAATATATTCTAACATTTTCATTTGAATGTCCAAACCATTATCAGGAGAGAGAAGATTAACACTGCCTTAGTAATAGCTTGAGACCTGAGGAAGAATTCATGGCCCATTGTTCTCCAGGACCTCACTTGACTGGTGTGGTGAGTCTAGGTCTTGAGGCCCAGGACTCTGAGAGCAGTGGGGGTCATCAGCAGGATCTCCCAAGGTCAGCTCCACTTCTCTTCTAACTGGGAGTCGGGTCAATTTTTCTACATTTTGATCAGGACATGATCTCCAGACTGCAAGAGGTACAGGTTACCTGTAGGGGAGGAAGTAGACCTGGGAAGAGCAAATTTTAAGAAAAATGGAAAGTGTGTGTTGGAGGTGTTATGTACACCACTGCACCTTCAAATCTTGGTTGCGGGCAGGTAGAGGGTTGAGAAAAACTGCCTGGGAGGTTTGTTGTTGTTGTTGTTAAGTGCCATCGAGTCGGGTCCGACCCATAGCGACCCTGTACAGGGTTTCCGAGGGTGTAAATCTTTACGGGAGTAGAAAGCCTCATCTTTCTCCCGCGGAGCGGCTGGTAGTTTCAAACCGCTGACCTTAAGGTTTGCAGCCCGATTCGTAACCACTACGCTACCAGAGCAAGGGCTCAATTTAAGCCCATTTCTGGGGGCTACCTGAATTCAGAAAAGGGCTAAGGCAACACCTGGTCCCAATGTAGATAAACTTCCTGACAGATTTGCCATTTGTTTCTTTAGAGTATAGTTTATTTTCTCCCACTGTCCAGGAGTGGAAATCTTCATGCTAAATTCAATCTCCATTTCATCTGTAGGTGTCTGCTGCTCCATTATCACTTTGGAAACTTTTTGGAAGTCCAAATTTGGGAGATAATCTCCTTCAAGAGGATTTTCACTGCTTCTTAAATTCTCTTAGTCTACAAAAACAAAACCAGCAACTACTTAATTCCCCAGCTTGGGGACATCTGCATGAAATCAACCTGCCAATTTTCAAGGGGTTGTTTACCTTGATATTGGTGCAGGACAGCCTGTCTTGGGATTGTTCTTGAGGCCCATAAAACAGTTATAGCTAACATCCTGAATGATTTTGTGTGTGTGTGGAAAATTTCTTGCCTGTAAGTCAGGGTTTAGTGAATTAAACTAGGGCCTCTTTCCCATAGTGGATCATTTCATGGACTCATTTAAGAAGAGTAGGGGCTAGTTTTCATAGGATCAGAACCATCCTCTTGCTATTCACTTTCTAGCTTTTAACTTCTCAGAAGCAGACCAATTCCAGTGTCACTTTTCATCCTTTAACCTCTCTCTCAAATCCTTCTGTCCAACTCAAGATCTCTGGGTACAAATTCACAGTCTTTCTCGCCAACCTTTCTAATGTTCTCCTCAGTGCAATTGATTCTGCCTTTTGAGCAGGGATCCCCAGCAGGAGGTCTGCTGCCTCCACTAGATCTTGTAAGGCTACTATCACACACCCTGTTGGCTGAGTCCCTTTCTCCAGTAACTACGTCTATCCATGAACAACATCTAGTTCACCAGGTCAAACTGGTCAGGTTGGCTGGAAAATACTTGGTTAATGATTTCTATACAATCATGGTTCAGCCCTCCAGTTGCCACATCAAGGAGAAGGATGGTGGGTTTAGTTGACCCATAATTTTCAAGGTAATATTCTGATTTCTAGTAAAATAACTAGTTATCACCTCATCTGTCCTGTCCTGAGCATAGGTTTCCATCTGTTGCAGCAAGAAGATGACTTCATGGTGATGAGCTGACCAGAGGGAATTTATCAGCCTCTTTAATGAGAGGATATTGGTTTCTGTGGAATGGTCAGCTTGAAGGCTTCAATCAGACCTCAACGGGGGATGCTTCTTGACAATTTCCAGAGTTCTGCTAGCCCACACGAGGGGTTTACCTGATTGTCGATATCCTCAGACCAATGTGACAGGTTTCTAGAGTTTGAATCAGTAAATGCCAGGCATGTTCATGAGGAATCTCCATCTACAGACTTTTGGTTTCAGGAAAAAAGGTTATTTGAACATGCAACTTTGGAAGCAGGTCCTGGCCCAGTAAAGGGACTGGGCAGTCAGGCATATGTAGGAAATGGTGTGTCATTTTCTTTTCCCCAAAGAAACAGTCTAGGGGTTCCAGGAAGAACTGGTCCTCAGGCCTCCCTGAGATTTTGGTCACAATCACTGAACAGAATAATTCACTGAATAACTAGCCCTAGTGTCCACCAAAATCCACAGTCTGTCCCACATTGTTATTTTCTGCTGAGGTTTCTGGGAGCAGGGGAAGGCAATAGGGATGACAGAGGTTTATGGCAGATCATACTGGACCCCCTCCCCTCCGGCACTGTCAGTCTTCTGCAGACAACGAAGCTTGTTCAACCATCTGTTGAGTTGGAGGGTGGCTTTTTCTGCCAGATCCTCCCCTGAGATTTAGACATTCATTTTTCCAGTGTCCAGATTTTTGCAATAAGCACATTGGTCCTTGCTTAAGGCCCTCTTTCCTTTCAAGGGTCCTCCCTGGAGCCTCACAGATTTACCTCTAGTGGTCTTTAGGAAGACAGTAATGGCCTGAGAATTCTTGTGCTCTCGGCTGTTAAATACCTCGAAGGTGATGTTGACCAGCTGGGATGGATTCATGCCAGTTGCCCTGTCAAATTTCTGCATTTTCTTTCTAATATCGAGGGTGCTTTGGGAGATAAAAATTATGTTAACCATTTGGATATTTGCTGAATCTCTGGATCAAGGTCTGTGTACTTAAGTAAACTTGGTAGATTCAGTCAAGGAGTTTAGTTGAACTGCCTGTACCATGTTCAAGCTCTTTTGTTTAAGAACTCCTTCAGACCTCTGAGAATGCACCTTTTACAGTATTCTAGCTGCAGCAGGCCCTGTCATTTAGATTCCAATTTGGCTTAGTTAGAGGAATTGGCTTGACTGGAGCCAGGGCCCCATTTGGGTTTTTTTCCATGGATGTGCACTGCTTTGTCCCGTGCCTTATCTCAGACCAGCCTTCTTTCATCAGGAACATGGCTAACAGAGCCTGAATATCTGCCCAGTTAAAATGATGGGTAGCAAAAACAGAGAAGCAGTGATGCCTGAGATGGAGGCAGAGACAATGACGTGGAGAGATGGAGCAGTTGGGGACTTTAGACACAGAGAGGGAGAAGGGCTGTGTGCTGATGACCAGAGGGCAGGCTTGTAGTGTATACCCTTTGGTTGGTTGGTGATGCATGGAGTGGATTGTAACCATGGCAATTAAATGATACACAATAGGATGAATGTAAAATTAATGTTATCCCATGTAAACTATCACATAATTCACAATAAAACTTTTTTTTAAAATAGTAATTATTAAATTTGTCATTTTGGTTGGGTCATCCTGGTGTGCACTGTGGGTCAATACGCTGAACTGCAAATTCCATCCAAAACAGCAAGGTCAGCAATTCAGCTGCTCCTCAGAAACCCCACACTGGGTTGCCATGAGTCAGAACAGACCCAACGGCACCCAACAACATCTCACAAGGAAGGATTTGAGTTTTCCCTATTTCACAAGTTCAAGATAGAGAAAGGAGTATGTGCCCAGTAGTGTCCTGATGCTTGCCCTTAAATATTCAATCCTATGGGCATCTGGAAGGGGAAATTGCCCTGTCTCTGTTCTGGGTAGCCCTTAAGCTAAATAGGTCCGTTGAAGGGTATGGGATAGAGAAATAAATTCCAAACTGCTTGCCTCAGCGACTGAATATGACAGGGCAGTTTCACTATGTAAGTCAATACTTTTCCCTACTTGCAGCTGCTAGTGTACCAGGAGTTGTAATAAGGTAATTCTACAAACAAAAGCTACATTTTGCAAAAAAGCAACCACTCATCTCTTTGCATATTCACATATAGGCCTGGTTAGAACTCTGTTTTCACTTTTTTCACCTAACTCTTGTCTGTATTCATTTTCCTTGCATGACTTTTATATGGGCAGTGTAATTGCATTATAGTACATACATGCGATATAACTTTCATACTCTTGGAATTCCAGGTTGTTTTTATTTCTAAAACATAAATACAAGACAAAAACAAAATAATTTCACAAACAGATAGGCAACCTGCACAGTGATTGAATAATTCAAGCTATAAGATGATATAATAATTTAAGGTTATTTTTTCCATAATTTAGATCATACATTGGCCAAGTAGTATTACAGTAAAACACATTTCCTTTGATGTCATAGGAGAATACCCACACAGAAACCAGTAGACAGAATTATGCCCTATAGGGTTTTTCTTTGGGATTGAGGCCTATACTTCCATTTTTCAGATACAGAGTTTAACCTTAACAGAAACAGAGGGACACATTTAGGAAATTACTTCCTGCCTAACATGCCCCAATGTGCACACCCAGAATAAAGCAGGGGGATCTCAAAAGTGAAAGTCACAGTTAGTGTAGGAGACACAGGGCCAAAGACTCCTAAGGAAAAGATTCTTGGCAGTGTTGCTTCGAGTGTTTGGTTATTTTGCTCCTGGGCTCATCTGTCCAGGTGGCCAGTGGGCCTGCCAGCAAGCAATGTCACCCACAAAGGAGACCAAGTTCCTCTGCCACTAATACTACTTAGTAGAGAAGTCCTGAAGGTCCCTGAGTGTGCTCTCCAGAAATGTTGCCACACCAAAATGAGGGCTTGCTGCCTGTTACTGCAGTCAATCTCAAAATGGCGAAAGATCCAATCCAAGCATTATTGACAGAAAGTCAGCAGTCTGGAGGACAGAGAGAATAGTTTCTCAAGACCGTCCTGTCTGTTATGAAGAGTAGGCACATTATATAGGGTACGTTAAATTTGGATGTTGTTCTTGTTAGGTGCCATCCAGTTGATATCGACCCATAGAGACCTTATGCACAGCAGAACAAAACACTGCCCGATCTTGGGCCAACCTCACTACTGTTGCCACGCTTGAGTCCATTGATGCTGCCACTTAGCCAATCCATCTCGTTGGGGGTCTTCCTCTTTTTCTCTGGCCCTCCACCTTACCAAACATGATATTCTTCTCCAGCGACTGGTCCCTTCTGAAAATATGTCTGAAGTATGAGTGACGAAGTTTAGCCATCTTGGCTTCCAAGGAGCGTTCTGGCTACACTTCTTCCAAAATGGATTTATTGGTTCTTTTGGCAGCCCATGGCACTTTCAATATTCTCCTCCAACACCATAACTCAAAAGCATCAGTTCTTCTATGGTCTTCCTTATTCATTGTCCAGCTTTCACATGCATATGAAGTTATTGAAAATACCATGGCTTGGATCAGGCACACCTTGGTCCTCAAGTTGACATCTTTTCTCTTCAACACTTTAAAAAGGTCTTGTGCAGCAGATTTGCCTAATGCAATACGTAATTTGATTTCTTGGCTGCTGCTTCCGCGAGTGTTGATAGTTAATCCAACAGAATGAAGTCCTTGACAACTTCAATCTTTTCTCCGTTGATAAAATTGTTGTTTATTGGTCCAGAGGTGAGGACTTTTGTTTTCTTGACATTGAGATGTAATCCACACTGAAGGCTGTGCTCTTTGATCTTCATCAGTAAATGTTTTAAGTCCTCTTTACATTCAGCAAGCAAGGTTGTATCATTTGCATATCACAGCTTGTTAATGAGTCTTCCTCCAATCCTGATGCCACGTTTTTCTTCATAGAACCCAGCTTCTCAGATTATTTGCTCAGCATATAGGTTGAATAAGTA